CGTCACCTGACTGGACGTTATGCAAACGTGAGACTAATTCCCGGCGCAAATACTCCTCACTCATATTAGCAAACTCGATGGTCGCAGCACGCCTTGTTAGGCAGGGTTTTCAGCGTGGCCCCGGTTTGAGCTGTCCCCATTGTGTTAGGTATGATCAACCGCTCAGTGCTGGTAGTCGCGGGCACCGCCTGGTATGATGTCACCTGCACGCAGGCTTTCGTGTCGATGAGGAGGAAACTGCGTCGCTCCCATGATAAAGAAACATTAAAAGAGCGTGATCACAATGCCCGAGAGGTTGCGAAAGACGTTTGACTTCTTTATCCATTAGCGCGCGGGGAGTTATCCTCATCATTGTGCAGGTCTTCGTTAAAAGCTGTTTCATACCGACGGAATGTGCGGAGAGTCATTAGACGACCATGGCTGGGTGTTGTAGGTCGTAACTAACGTTTGACACTGATTTGTTCCGGCCGTCGCTGTGTCAGTGGCAGCGGTGGTGGTGTGCGATTGTAGAACACGCCGGTCTATTGGTATGCAGCCGTAAGCTGCTGCAACCGGCAACCTCTGCAGCTGTGGACGGGGAGCGATGCTATCCGTCCGAGGGCTGCACGACCCGGTACTGGGGGCGGGCTGTGGCCGCTGACTTCTGCGGGACCGCGGCCGCTACCGTCCCTGGCACTGGGAGCAGGCTGCCGCGCTACACCCTCCCGGTACTGGGGGACAGGCTGCGGCGAATGGCCACCATTCTGTCCCTGGCACTGGAGGCGGGCTGCGGTAGCTACCGTCTCTGGCACTGGGGGCAGGCTGCAGTCAGTGAGTAGCGACCATACTGTCTTTGGTACTGGGGGCATGCTGCCGCCGCTATAAGTTCGTGGCACTGCAACCTGAGTGTCACGGCCATTGGCAGTTGGAGTCGCAGCGTTACCGTGCCCGCGCACGGTCAGCCGTCACGGTCAGCCGTCACAGTCACTGACATTGACGTCCTCTGCCGGCGCTGTCACCCACCTGACCGGAGTCCGGTAGAAGTGCAGCGGCGGCCTCTGGGAGGGGGAGAGGGGTGAAGGTCTGACTGCAGCGTGAATGTCGCTGTCACAGAAAGCGACCCCTGCCATTCAGGCCGACAGAATCGCTGTAAAACCGACACGCACGGCACTTTTAACCGACGTCGGCGCTCGTTTCAACTCCGAGAAAGGAGGTAATGCGCTGTGAGTGCGCACTTACCCTTGTAAGATGACCGACTCGAGATGTCTGATCGTCACGCTGGCCCGTCGTCTGTTTCTTCTTCGCCTTTCTCGACCCCTTCTGAAGCTCTTTGATCTCGTTGCGTCGCACCAGCCGGTGAATATGGCCGATGCATTGGGAGGCGGCCTCGCCCAGTCTGCGGCCGGCCCAGCCGTATTATGCACCTTTCGATACCGATCTGTTTTGTGGCCACTCCCGCGCCTCGTGCCACCCGCTGGGGTTACGACATCCCCGCCTGACGGTGACGTCACGTCACCATCAGCTGACGTCAGAGGCCGGTGAGGTCAGATGAGGTCAGAGGTCACTGCCAGGTCACCAAACAATTGCCCGGTTATCTAGCTGTGATATTAACGGAGATCGTAAATCCTGCTCGCCTTCGGCAAAGGCTCATGATCAAGACCGAGGTAGTGATTTCCCTGAGGTCATACTTCGTGCTGTCCGATGGGGACGTCTTACATTCCACTAAACCTGTCTTATCCCCCGACGTAGATAACAGTCGCCTCCCTGACTTGCATCTGAGGACGACCTTCCCCTGCCACCGTTCGCCAGCTCTGACCATCACTCCGGTCAGCGGTGCGGTCGCCATGACCGACCCGCGCCGTTTTTGTCGATCGCTCGACTGGCGCGCCGCGATCGTATCAGTGGCGCCGGCGACGTGCGCCGCTGTTTTGTAGCGGCAGCGCCAGCTTCGCATGCGTCGAAGAGGCGGTCGGCGCGCGCGAGGTCAGCGGTTTTTATTTGTTTGTTTGTGGCGGTGCCGGCTCCAAGGTGATTGTCGCTGTGCGGTGTGCCCACGTGACGTCGTCTCAGTTGCGATGGAAATGAAGACGTTATTTTTGTGCGGCGTGTGCTGAGACAGGTGGCCGGTCGGTGGTATAGTGTTGGAGGCTGCTGCTGCTGCCACATCTGAATGACGCAGAGCTGGTGCGCTGCAGTGGTTTAAAATTATGCCATATCCGTCGCCTGATAGTGCTCGAGGTGACAAAGGGGTACTTAGGCTGTATTTCAACTTCAGGAAATTGCCGAGGCTATCAGTCAGTCAATCGTCGGAGACTTCGATTCGGGAAGCAACTGAAATTTCGACTCGCATTGCAGCTCCACTCCCCTCGCTAGCTCCGACTGGTACTTCAATCCCCTTAGATCTCAACCCCGACTCCAACCGACTCCAACTCCATCCTAGCCACCCATGGCTCGATCGAAGGTTGTAATCGGGCCGATTAAGTCGGCGTGACGTGGCGTTTTTGCAAGAGGCTCGTATCGCGTGGCCCGCTGAGTGATTGCATACATTATCATATCCCGGGCACGGTCGTGTGGCCTTCTCAAGCTGTACGGACTGCTCAAGACGTACCCAGTGCTCACATCACCACACTGGGCCTTCTCGTGGTCTGCTAGGATCTGCACAGTCCACGGTAGATTCCTGCTTTGGCTGCACTGCTCGGGCCTCATTTGGGTCTGACTCGGCCTCTGGCAGCGATCGGGCTCGGCTCACGCTCAGACCCCTCTCAGTCCCTCTCAGGACATGTCGCTCCCCTGCTGTGCCGGCCACTATTCGTCTCGTTATCTCTAGGTGGGCTAATTAATCACGGGTCGGTGGCGAGTGTTCACGGTGCGGGCCGGCCGGCGATCCGTCGGCTGACCCGATGACGTAATAGGCTGCCTTCGACGGTCCCCCAGCGGCGGGTCTCAACAGCGAAGGTCACTACCCGTCGGGCGCACCGCTCGCTCGCTGAAGGGAGTTCGGACTAGCGGACATATTACTGGCAACACGCGGGCGGGGTAGGCGAGGTGGTAGATAACGCAGGGAAAGGCAACGCGTGAATGCGTTCCTTACGGCTGGGTGATCTCATTGCCGCGTGTAGCTGCCGCTGTTAATTTCACTCCGCCGTATCATCAGCCTTTTGTTCACTTTCTGATGATGGGGTTGCTCGATGTGGTGAGCTGCATTGTTTTTTATTCATCCCGAGTGATTATTTCAGTCTCCCTCCGGGCTGCCGGCCGCTGTTATTACAGACTCCGTGAAAGCCCGTGTTATTTATGGGGCTGGTTTTTAATTGTGTCTGTCTGTGGGATTCGGGATGTTGTTCGTGCGCCACCAGCTCAATCCAGATGGTATCTGCTCTCCGGGATGAGGAGGTGCTGCCTTCCGACAGTTACCGACGTGCGGGCTCATATAAATTTTCGGCCACCTTGAAAGCCCCACAGTGCTGTAAATTAATGCAGGCGGCGGAAGCCTGCGGGGGAGCGTCGGCAGAGGGCAGCTAAGAGGGCGCTGGAGGCGGAGGAGACGGGGAGAGGAGGAGAAGGCGTGAAAAGCGTGACAGCGGCACGAAGCAGCGGCGGACTCCTTCAGCGAAGGCCTCTCAGCACGAGTCACGAGCCACTCGAAACAAAACGGCCGGCCGCCGAACGGGTGCTCCAGCGAAGGCCGCTGCTGGCCGCTGACGCCCGGGGTGACCTTACATGGGCGGCTGCGGAGGCTGGGCGGGAGGGGTTCACAGGCTGTCCGCCACCGCGCCCCGCTATATCGCCGAGTCGCCCCGTAAAGACGCCCTCCCCCGAGACTGCATCGCTGCATAGAACAATATCAGCGGTAGCCCCGGAGGCACAGAGGATCTTATCCGACGCTTCATTGGTGGAAACGGGCTCTGTTAGTTGTTTTGTATGGCGATTAAAGTGACGTGAGTGTTAGTTATGTAGATTTCTATGCAATATTTCATCTGGAGTGCTATTGTCACAACAGTTCTTGGTGTTGTGCAAATTCATTTGTTGCCAGAGCTAAATCAGTTATGTAATTAGCAGCATGATGCAGGCTGGCGAGCATTGTCCGATCAAAATCAAGCATGAAGTCATCGCTATATATTCTTTTGGATGAAGAAGTCAGCCAGCAGAGTTTATGGAGCGTGTAATTGGTGGCGCTGTGCCGCACCTACCAAGCGGTAATAGCCAACGGTGCCTCTCGGCGTCTAACGGGAAACGCCGCTGCTATCTTCTGCGTGCCTGCTAACGGACAATAATAAAACTGGTCATGTCATTCTTCTTTATTCGCGTAGTACCTACTATCATTCACCGTACATTAGACATGAGCTGCTATTTCTCCACAACATTTTAAAGCCACTATTTCTAGCTCCCAGGAAGGCTGTTGCTTTAAGGGGTTCGATGAATTCGGTATTTATGATTGAGATGGAGGTTAATTGGGTAATATTAAATCAGCACCGCTGTGTTCGATGTAGCAATTACCAACTATTAGCTGTCATTACCTCCTTAAAATAATTACACCTAAGCGTGTTCAAATATTCGTGCTTATTAATGTTCCATTCCATATTTCTACGTGCGTGAATAGGCGTTGATTTATTAGCTAAGACTCCGAACTTATCTTCATTTGTATTCTCAGGAGCTTCCTATCCTGATAGTGGTCCCTCTGTTCTACCATCCTGCATACCAATCTTGGCCGGTCTCTGACCGAGAATAAATCTCGTCTTTTTGTCGCGGTGACCGTTACACTAATGTGTCACAGATGTCTTATTTGTGGGTTAGTGTGCTGACCGCAGTCGTAGTCGCACTATCTGTATTAGTTGCCCCTTGAATACACATCTGAGGGTCTTTCAAGCCTCGCTTAGCTGCGCTGTTTCTTGGAGATATTTGTATACGTACTATGTTGATTATTTATCATTTATTGTTAACACAACATGTGTGGTTACTTCTACCCACATAAATGGTTATTTCTATCATCTCTAACCTCCCATTTCTCTCGTGTGTTTCAGACGGCCGCCAGTGCGCCGGCCTGCGTCCGCCCGCGCCCCCCGGCCGTCCGCTCGGCCTCTGCTCCGTCGCCGTGCTCCACCGAGCCGGTCTCAGTCGCCGCCATGCTGGCAGAGCTGGGGGACGCCTCCTCTCCGCTGCTGGAGCCGCTCGACTGGCCCGCCCTGGTGGCCCTCGGAGCCGGCCCTAGCCCGACGCCCGCCGAGTCTCCTGGAGCAGAGGAGCCCTGGAACCCTCACCTGGAGCGATGGCAAGAGAAGCTGCGTCAGCGCGGCCTCGAGAGGTGGAAGGAGAAACTGAGGGCCAAGCGTGCACAGGATGAGGAGCGCCAGTCGTGGGGCCGCCTGGAGCGGCTGGTGCAGCGTCTGAGTCCCGTTCAGCGGCCGGCGGAGCTGGCGCAGCTCGGCAGCGGTGTGGAGCTCGAGGAGCTGGCTGAGCTGTCGGAGCTCGACGGGAGGGAGTCGCCGCTCCAGTGGCAGGAGGCTGGTGGAGGACGGGAGTCGTCGCTGGAGAACGGATCCACGCACGACTATGCCGAGATTGAGTCGAGCAATGAAAGAGAGACGACGGGTACGCAGAAGGCAACTGCCGAGCGTGAGATGACAGCTGGTAATACTCCGTCTACAAGCGGGGCTGTAGTGTCATCAAAGACAACCAAAAGTGCACTGAAGCATGCCACAGTTACGGATGCTGCACCTACGATCACAACAAGTGGACCAAGAGGAGGTGACTGTCAAGACTCCACGGAGGGGGCGCGGCGAGTGAGGACGCGCCGCCGTCGAAAGCGCCGCCTGGTCCGCTCGGAGTCAGCGCCGCTGGCGGTGGCGGTCGACTTCTGGTCGGACGGCGGCGGAATGACGCCTGACGAGGGTGTCTGTCTGTGCGCCGGCTGTGGGGACGTATCTCCCACGATCACTCGCGCTGCAGCCCTGTGCCGCTCCTCAGCGCCGTCCCTGAGGCTGCGCTGCGGCGACGGCGGCGCTCCCCGGCTGCGGCTTGGTACGACAGGAGAGAACGGTGCTGTTTTGAGAAACAGACCGACGCACGGAGCTCCGCAGCAGCCACAGCGCGGAGCTAGTCACCCGAACCTCTGGCAGAGACCGAAATCACCCGACGCCGGCGAGCGCAGCTTTGACAAGTACCGCATCAAGGACCCGAAACAGGGCTTCAGCGCGTGGGCGCAGCGCCACCTGGATCTGATCGAGGAGGCGCACAGCGCGCGTCCAGAGGGCGCCACCTCGCTGCCTCGGCCCGTGTCGCGTCGGCGGGAGGCACGCCACCTCCGCGCGCGCGCCCGCCGCTCGTACCCGTCCGCTGAGCTCGACAGCGACGAGGAGCCAGAGCCGGTGGGTCGAACGGCGCCCCTCTCAGCGCGCCGCAGCGCCAGCGTCGACTCCGGCACCTGCACGAGCCCGGCGACGTCGACTGCCCCTCTGGACTCGGCCGCTCGCGCCGTGTCCTCCCAGCCGCAGGGACGAGTGGTGCGCAGTCAGAGTGTCGACTCGTGTCGCTGTGAGAGTCCCCTGAGCTCTGGATCGGCGCCGGTACGCCGGGCTCCGCGCCGCCGGCCACTGCGCCCCCGCAGCGTCGAGCTACCGCCGGGCCGCTCCGCGGGGGTGTCGGCGGCGACGGGCCGATCGCGGGTGCCGCTGGCGGCTGGCCGGGACGCCTGGCTGCTGGTAGGGCCCGGCAGGGGCCGACTGTCGGCCTATTTTATCCGAGACACCGGAGTGATCATGGGCGGAGGCCGGGCAGAGCCGCCGCCGACGGCAGCGGCGGCCAGGAGTGGAGAGGAGGCGGCGGCACTGGCGGCGCACTTGAGCCGAGCTCTGGCGCTGGTGCCGGACACCCATCCGGACACCCATCCGGACACTCATCTGGACAATCACCCTGATACCAATCCGGACACTAATCTGGAGACTCATCCGGACACACAGGACACCAAGGAGGACAATGCTGCGGACACGCAGCCTGCCGCCGCCGAGGACACGGATAGCGATGTTGTCGGCAGAAGAACGTCTTCCAACACGTCCACCCTCTCATCCACAAACCTGGTGAGTACCTTTGTCGTCGAGGATCCTCCTCAGGTCTCTGTGCCGGATGTGTCTCAGTTTTAATACGTTCATTTGTCGCCAACTGGTCACGCTTAGCCGGATTGATGTGTTTTGGTTTCATGCCAACCAGCGTGAGTTTTATTTCACCCGGTGAGTCGCTGTGTTATGATAGTTCTGCAGTCGTGTGGCTTATGGCCTGTCCGGGTTGTTGTTCCATAAATTGTGTCCGCCTGTGTTTGTGACCTTGGAGAGCCATGTGGTGTTCATGTTACGAGCACTAACACGGGTCATGTGTCGTAAATTATCAGTCTTATTGCGTCCTTACACGGCCGACGGTATCGTGCATCCGTGTTTGCTCGCTCGATTGCCTCGTGTCTCACTGTTTGCGCTCGTACGTGCGCATTGAAGAAAGGTCGTTGATATGCGCTGTGGGGCCGGTATCAAAGCTCCTGCTGTATGCGGCTGAGCCGGCCCGCGGGTCGGACAGTCAGGGGAGCCAGACGCCGCGCGGGGCTGGCTCTGCGGCCCCAGCTGCTACTTGTGAATGTGAATCGGCGGCGCCTTACCGGCGGAATATTAAACACGGCTGCCCTTATACGGCCTAATGGGCAGCGCCGCGCTCTGAACTCCATTCATTCAGCTATGGTCGAAGCACGCAATGCGCCCGACTGTGGGCGGGATGGGCACACTGACGCCACTATTCTGAGCCCTTTACCGGGGCTACTCCCTGACCGGGCCGGGCCGTATTTGAACCGACAGGCGGCTACAGAGGACCACTGCGAGCCGGTCCTCTCCGGCCGGACAGGCGCGCTTTTCATCGTCCCGGCCACCGTGACAGAGAACGGCTTCAGTCTATTTGATTCTCATCGCGTGGCCGCTGCTCGGCGTGCAAATGTTTAGACGAGAGCGCTGCTGTTCCTGGGAGCCGTTCCTTCACCACCGGACACTAAAGCTGGTAGAAGTTGGCTCGGAAACAGCTCACTGGTCGATGGGTGGATCTGTATCCGGCTGTTGCTGCAGCCGACCTCTTTCGTCACAGTTTACTGAGATGTTTGAGATCACGCCTGGATGATTTCATTCGACTTCTGGGTTTGGGCGTATCCTTTCTGTAAACCTGCAGAAAACTTGTTTATCGAACGCTACCACACGTGGCGAGCGATAGTGTATGTTGTCGTGCGGATGGGTGCGAACTTAGTATGCGATCGTAATCCCAGCTGCTTCGAACTCAAAGCCAGATCGCAAAGACTAGGTCAACATCCCTCACTCGTTTAGAGTAAATCAGCCGCTACGAATCGTACCCGCTTCGCCAACATGTCCGACACGTGTAATCACTCGCTTCGTCTGCCACTAATTCGAGTTTGAGCTTGATTCACACCATTCCAATTAGCTGTGACCGGTGTCGATCTGTTGACACTAGCTGTCGCCAATTAGGCCCGGCTCGTGTCGCTGGAGACGCGCGGGTGACAGACCTGGCGACACTGCGCAGTAGCCGGTCCTGTTGGCGACCCGGTGGGTGTGTGGGTGGTGGAGGGAGGTCGCCACTCCCCCCCCCCCTCCCACGCGGCCCGCCGCGCCGCTGAGGTCATGGCTGGGAGGTCCGGGAGGCGGGAGGTACCGGCTGGGGTCAGGGGGGACGGGAGGGAGGGCGCGTCCTGGGAGAGAACCGGTCGTAGCGTCGCGGGCGGCGGCGGCGGCGGCGGGGAGAATGAGACACGGTGAGCAGCATGGTCCCCGCCCACGCCGCCGCCGCCGCCGCCACCCACGCTGTGTCGCGCTGCCATTCGCCAGCGAAATACACCAGCTGGCAGCTGGCAGAGAACGCGCACGACAGAGCTGGGTCTGCAATGGGCCCGACAGTCCGTCCCAGCTTAAAAAGACAGCCTTCAGAAGCAGGTAAAGATATTCAACGATCGGCGATGGGAACACGCAGCTTGTGCACACGGTTTAGCATTTGATTAGTACCGAACTTCCTCTCGAGTTTCATCACACTTGACAAAGACTCACCGAAGAGAATCCTTTCAAACGTTCCAGCGTAAGTCATCACGGATTACACTGTCCGTTCCAGCTCTCTCCGCTTCAGAAATCGGAATGGATGACCCTCTGTGTCCAGTGCAGCTGCCACCGTCGCTGTCCCCTCTTCGTACCACTCTTCGTGTCATGTTCCTGCCAGTCCTGGGGACACGGTATAATGTGAGGTCGTCAGGGCTCAGTAGGACACGGTGTCCGCTGGAAGGCCGCAGTTGGACCCCACCTGTCACGGCTGTGGCGCGCAGAAGGCTTTATCGTCGGAGGAGCTCCCCTGCGGCTCCCTCCGCCGGACCATCGCTAATCAATTCAGACGTGCAGACGGAGGCAGAGGCCAGCCAGGGTTTGATCTATATGCACTGTTCGCGCTGAGTGAGGATCACCATTTAGCTGTGTCGGTGTCAGTGTCAGTGTCGGTGAAGTCCTGAGACCCAGGTGTGCGCTTTGAACGGCCGGTGGTGGTTCAGTACCATATTCCCGACACCATTCGGTATGGCTGTCTCGGCTGTCTCGCTCAGCTGTCTCTGGAGCCGGCATCTCTCGACCCCGAGGGAGGTTGGAGAGCTGAAAGGAGCTGAGGGGGGGGGGGGGGTCCCGCAGCTGCAGCTCATTTGACGTGCGTCGGCCCAGACGCCGTGGCGCGGCCGCGCGCCTTTTCGGGCCGTCCAGGGTCGCCCCGCCAAGGTCGCAGACGCGTCTCCTGACGTCAGATCGATGCCGATCGGCAACAGTGACGTATGGTCGAGCCTTACATGCGGGCGGCGGTTCATGAACTACGCACAAGGACCATCAGGAAACTTCCCTGGGAGACATGAGGTCAGCACCTGGGAATCAGTGGGCTTGCAGAAAGAGAAAACTGAGGCCTACTTAATGACCAGACCGAGGAACCCAGGTCCGTGAGCAGACAAAGTATACTTGGGCACTGGCTTGTGCTCGTAAAGCTGGAATCTACCGATTGAGTCGGTAGCGGTAATCGTTGACTCAACCACGGTGACTATAAATAGACTCAACTGCCAGAACGGATGGCGTAGATAGATATTAATCTCTTCGACAAAGGTTTATGCGCCAAACTATGAAACGATTTCCCCATCGATGACAAACAATTAGCAATAGGGGAGGCAATACGCCCTAAAATCATTTTATCAGCAGCTTCCAGCCGATGTTTCTCTCGGGCTACGTGTTATCACCTTGTTATGAGTTTTGTAAGGCGTCTTTTTGGTTCCCCGGTCTGTGGATTTTTATTTACTTATCTCCTCTCTCTTTCTTTCTCTCTCTCTCTCTCTCTCTCTCTCTCTCTCTCTCTCTCTCTCTCTCTCTCTCTCTCTCTCTCTCTCTCTCTCTCTCTCTCTCTCTCTCTCTCTCTCTCTCTCTCTCTCCTTCTCTCTCTTTTTCTCTTTCTCTCTTGCTGTTTTTCCTTTCTCCCTTTTCCTACATTCCTACAGGCTTTTCCCTCTTTTCTTTACCTCATCTCAGCTTAACAGTCTTAGTTTGCGCTACAAAGTGTCCGACGTTTGCTAATTCAAAAGACGTTGGAATGCCTGCAATGAAAATGATAGAAGTAAAAATATTCGAATGGATGGCTACAAATTGACCTTGCTACTTATTCAAACAATTTTCATCCGGATAATTAGTTAATCAAACATCTTTTATAACGTTTTATGTGCTTTGATTCGACGGTAGTTCTGTCCCATTCTGAAGGGTTTTCATATTTTATGTCTTTTCGCAAAACGAAGCGTTCAGACAAACGGCATGCGCAATCAGTTGGGTTTTTCCTATTCATCCCATCTTGCTTGCTATCGTCATTCTCTGGCAGGCATTGACAGCATGTGCTCACGTGCAGATGCAAGGATTGTCAGTTTCAAGGAACATGTATCTGCATTATAGCATTGTGATTACTGTCGGCGTCTCCATCTTCGTATTTGCATCATCATTTGGTGTGAGCAGCGCCAAGGGCTGCTTTATACGCTCCGTCACATAATTTATGACAGATGTCGCTGGAAATTCTCTGACTTACAGGGAAAACCATGGCCATTGTATAAGTTATACTTTGCCAAATCAATGTAACGTATAGGGGTAGATGTTTTCATAGGCGGCGGAACGGGGGGGGGGGGGCACCGGGGCACCGGTGCCCTTTGATTTTGGCATTTTAACATTAGTCCTATGGGCGTTGCATGGAAGGAATGGGACCAAAAGTCGGCAGTGCCCCCCCCCCCTTAATTGAAGGTGTTCTGCCGCCACTGGATGTTTTCCCAAAATGCCTTCTGCTTCGCCATGGTCACGTTACTGGAAGCGGCTGCCAACCGACGATAACCCCTGTTCGGCCCTTGGTTCCATTTACGTTCCATAGATGGCACTAGTGTGAAACGCCTGAAGCTAGACTGAACCGCCTAGCTGATAGTGTTCTGAGATGTAAGTATAACGCACGCACGTTATGCAAAGCCAGGTACTTATAAATGCCGATGAATGATGTCATATTTGTGTTTCATCACTCGAAATTCCTCACACAAGCATGTAGCTATCGTTGATCATTATGCAGATAAAGCGTGTTCCTAGTCCCTGTTACTAACTTCCTGGCGTCTCTAAGCGGCCGAGAGAAATCCTGACTGTCGACGAAGCTCAGGGCGGCGTCCGTCGACTCTGCGTCGATGAAAGTTGGCTGTGAAATTCAAACAGCGGCGCTGTTCAGAGGCTCAGCCGTCCGTACGGGCCGATTGGCACGATCGGAATGGGAAACAAAACAGTGCCGATCGCCGCCACGGTCCGGACAGCGCCGTAAGTGCGCCGTAAATAGCGAGAAATGCCGCTTTGATTGGCCCGAACAAAATAGCGAGGCAGCTAGCTGTCAGGGGAGGACCGAGTGGGGAAATCCAAATTACCCGGGGATGCGTGCCTGTTTTGATGGCCCGACCAAGCCCTGTCATCGGCGATGTGACGTGTGGTATTTTCACCACTCGATTTGTATTATTTCCGGCTCAGTGGCGGCACTTGTCGAGCGGGCGGCCGAAATTCGTATCAGAAGCGACGCATCTGTCGCGCCGCTTCTGCGTCATGTTTGCCTCTGCGCCGCGGGCGTCTCGCCGCGCCCCTTTCGCCGCCGCGGCGACAGGCGGCGGGTGGCACGTGGAGGGGATTTTGAGCCGAGGTCAGCGGCGTCCATCTTATCTCCCACCCGCATGGCTCCGTGTGTGTGACGAAGAGAAGTGGCGGCCGCGACCGGGCACAATCTAATTACGGTCGTCTGCTCTGTGTGCCGTCGCTGATTAGATAATCGCCACGCAGAAGGGGCGGCCGGCGCCGGCGCGCGGGCGCCCGTCACGTGCCGGCCTCCCTGCTCGTGCGCCTGGCGCCGCCACTGCCGGCGCGGAGGCGCAGGGGCGGTGACGGTCGGTTCGCCGAGTGGCGGCTCACTGCTGTACTGTGGCGGACGTCGGGAGGCGGTCGGGGACTGCGCATGAGGCGGCGTGTGAACGGTGACAGCGATCGGGACTTCGGGACGGAATCGAGCGAGGTGTTCACTGGAGGACAGACTGCGACGGAGGTGGTGCTCTGTCACTGGTGCTGGTGGAAATGGTGTGATGAATCGGATAGAGGATCCCTGACAAGGTGCGTTGCTTTGGGGGAGGACCGGTCTCGTGGTTTTGAACGGTCATCACTGCAGTCGGTAATGTAGCATGCTACGCGAGCCGCTATGTCATTCACAGCTCACCCGAGTTTCCTGAGCTAGCTGCATTTGTGATGCACCCAAGTCTGCGCCTGGCTAGAGCATGCCAACAGGTTAACCGTCGCTTACTGCTTCCAATTTAGACGGTAATGCATCATTGGCCCAGGCTATTTTGGGACGGCGCCGTGCGTTTCGCGTTTTTCTGACCTCGTCCATCAGCACTGCCTGTGGTGGTTTGGCCATCGGTCGTTCCGTCAGCATCCGTACCCGGTGGGTGGGGTGGGGGTGGGAGCGGGGGTCTGTCTGGCCATGCTGACGGAGTTGCCTCGCTGGAGAGGGGGTGATCCGAGGGAGGGGGGGGTGTTACGGCTGTGCCAGCCCGTGGCACGTGCCGACGGCTGGTGCGTGCCGTGCCGGGACGGCCGTACGTGCGAGCAACGGCTGACGTGACGGTCGCGAAATAAAGCTGAACACTTTGTTACTCAACTGGAACGTGGCGGGTGAATGGATGTAGCTGGTTTGTAACTTATTGTCCTTAAATTGAATACTTTTTTGAAAATTTGCTACATGTTTTTACAATATAGGTGTTTCGATTCAAATCAGCATTAAATCTTGTGGGACTCAGTGAGGGATTCCACTTTTCACTCATTCTTCAGCCATTAGCGCCCACAATAAAACGTGGACACACACCCGAACAATGGCCAGTAGACACCGTTTGTTCCCATACAATCCGTCTTGGAAGTAGTCCACTGCCACTCAAACAAAGTGTTATACGCCATAAAACCCATTCTCCTCCCATCCCGTCACCAAAGGCCTGTCGCGTTTCTCGTTGGATCACCGTCGGTCACTGGGTGGGCGGCTGGCTCTGATCAGATACACTCCGCCCGTGAGCGACTATCGGCCTGTCAGTCACCTCCACAGTCTACCGTCCACCGTCCACACCCACGCCAGCTGGCCGCTGTTCCACTTTCCCGGTGGCCGGGCCGGTCGTGTCCGCGACCGGTGTCCTCCGCCCACTGTCCGCTGTGTCCGCCGCCACTGTCCGCTGTGTCCGCCGCCACTGTCCGCAGTGTCCCCGGCCACTGTCTGCCCACCCACACTGTCCGGTGCGTCCGACGATTTCCTGTCGCTGGTCGCAAACGGCTGCGGGTTCAGGGGCGGTGGGTCCATATGGAGGGAAGGTGTCGTGGGTGTCATTTAGTGGGGTCATGGCGTTGGGCTGGCGTTTGAGGCCGTGAGAGTCCCAGGCTCGTATCAGTGTCAAGGTTGGGATTGAAAGGTTTGATCAGAGAGAAAGGCTCGGCTGTTCTTTTCGATGGACGTATCGCTGATTAAGAAATTGGCGTGGAGATTGGACATTGTCCTAGTGTTCGGTTGCTTTATATTATCCCCTTTTATCCCTGGATGGACCCGATCAGAGCCACGGTGTAATACTTTATGGAAAAGAAATGTGCCAATGTAAAAATTAAGATCCTCAACACTAAGGCTTGTTATAGGCATCGCTCGAACCTCGTATGCCTCTCTGTATGTGAAGTGTGCCACACATATAGGCAGCAAAGTTACCGGGTCAATACAAACTCGACCAAGTTACGCCACAGAATGCGCGAGTCGATAAGCTTATCGATGTGTCACTTCTGGGAAAGAACAGTTTCCGACCTATCTGACCAGATCACTGATCTTTACATTTCTGGCCGTCTAGCAGAGAATGTCAAGCTCATAACTTCTGCCGACCTGACATTTTGTCACGTCTAGTTCCGTGACGAAACGTTCAGACACTCAAGGTGGCATCGAGGAGAGCCGTCTCGCCTCCAATACGAGCAGACCGAGCAGACATCACCATGACGTGATTGATATGGATGACGTGATGAATGACATCACTTTCATGTTTAACACTGACAATGGGCGTTGAGCAAACTGGGCTGGGTTTGGGACAGGCGTTACCTTGTTCTGAGGTCGCTGGTCGCGGAAGGGTGTTCCGTGCTATCATTCTGATAGCCGTGCAGGGGTTTATCGCCGGCTAATGTGTGGGCTTCAGCACACCTTTACTCAGTGCACTCGCTGGTGTGTGGGGACGCCGGTGTGTGCGCCCACAGTGACGATTTGACGTGACACATCGATAACGTTCTCACTAGTCATACCGGTGACTCGGTGACACCACTCGACCGGAGGCCGCTGGTCGTGTTTTGAAAACAATTATGGTATTTCTTGGGCGGCATAATTATCTATAACTACTCCAAAGGGGGAAGTTCAGGCTGTTTCGATTTAACTTGTTACGAATGTTGAAAATGTCACGCTAATATCGTTTCTATTTTCCACAAGAGCCGAGCTCATTTACGCGCTCTCTGTACCGTGATTCGTGGGCGTATGGCGTGACAACGGCTACGTCACCTGAACCGCGATATCGGTCCGTCCTACCGGGTACGGACTGTGCCGAGATGACGTCAGAATGACGTTATGATACTGCATGCTCGCTGGTCGGCTTAGACCATGATGTGCTTGATGGGTTTCTGCAAACTATACAAAAGGGTGCTTTACCTACAGCTTCTTTTGTCTTTCTAGGCTTTGTTTGCTTCTACACTTTGTTTGCTTCTACACTGTTCTTCCATGTCATCTAGATTATGATGCAATAACGAGAAACCTATTAGAATTACTTACCTACCTACATATCGATTAGTTTGTTAAACTTCTGAATGCTGTTTTTTTATTGTGCTTTCACATAGGTATATTGAACCGTTGTCGCTCATTGCGTGACATCGGTCAGTCGCCGATCGTTTACCCATGTCTGCTTTTAATGATTTAATAATGGACAATAAATATTGCAGAAATAAAAAGTATCATCGTCAAGTTGGTCGACTCCTGATGTTACTGCGAACTATCTGCTCGTATACCCCATTCGCATGCAATTTATAGACGCATATGATTCCATACTCATCTATTGCTCGTTTTGAGGCCAATCATGGCTAGGTAATTGAACCTCGCCAGCCAGCGACCAACGTCTGACCATATTTGCAGCCACCTCGCGTGTTCCGCACGAGCAATGAACGCTAATTAACGACTCACTGACCGAGCCCAGAGGGGCGTATCCACGACTCGACTATGGCCGATGATCGACGGCGGATATTGCCGAGTTATCCTACTCGGAATCAATGCTCCGTCGGGAACGCCCGAGCCAAGCCTTGACCCAGCTTCAGACTGTGTTGAGCGCGCTGCCCGGCTCTAGCATCTGAGCGCCGGCGGGGATGGAGCTGGTTTGTTAGGCGGCGCTACATATTCTTGCCATGCTTTTCTGCACGAGGCTCTGTTGGACGTGACTGGATTCTGGCGTGACAGATGAGTGATGAGAGGACGATAGTTTGCAGGGAGGACTGGAGTTGACATTGAGGATGAAATTTCGCAGTGAGTCAGGAACCCGTAGGGATAGCGGAGATACTTTATAGAGAACTGGACAGGAGTCTGCGGGAGGGACGAGAACATGTAAGAAAGGCGAATCCGTGAGAGGATGGAAGCCTGTGACGAAGGCGAGAGTCCGTTTAGTAAATAGGAGTCCGCTGGGAGTCCACAATATGGTCTCTTCTCAGAACGTTACGGCTATGCTCTTGGGCGTTACCGCCCAACCTCCGGTTAAACTGTGATGATCCACGCTGTGCGCAGCTTACCTAGCGTGACCGTGCGTGCGTGGATGGTGTGCAGTTTGACAAGGATGGGGTTTGCTCAGGGTGGAGGCGGATATCACTATGAATGAGTGATGAGAGCGGTGTGCAAACTGATGCAACGCTGTCCGTTGATCATGCGTGCACTGTGTCTGCAGCTGTGAAGAGTGTTAGTCGGGACAGTTCAGTCTGGTCATGTTTTGACTTCTGATGTGAGAGTTGGTTTTGTTGTGCTTTTATACGGTGAGTAAGTGTAGTCTAAGCACAATACTTTTTGTGTAGAGTGGTAGACGTAGGTATCTCACGTTACTGATAAATTGTCACTAATTATACAATATGTGCGATGGAACGCGATGAAGACTCCCTCTTTGACCCCACCTGACATAACCTGACCTGACCCGATCTGATCTGACCTGAGCTGACCTCTGTTTCGTCTTTTCACAGCGGCCGGACGAGCTCTCCGACTTCCTGCGACGCGTGGAGACGAGCATTCTGAGCGGTCCCGATCACGGCTCCGACTACGGCTCCGTCCCCGGATCCGGAAACAACTCGGCTTCCGGATCCGCCAACGGCTCCGCCTCGAGATCCGGCCACGGCTCGACTACAGGATCCGCCAAAGGATCTGTCAACGGCTGCGGATCTGGATCCGTGTCCTCCCAGGATTCGGCCGCTGGATCTGTCACAGGATCCGCCGCCGGATCCGCTCCTGGATCCGCTCCAGGATCAGCTCCCGGATCTACATCGGGATCTGTTCCCCGCAAGACCCCGAAGTCTCTTACCTGCAGCTCGGACACTTGCTCTGCTATAGGCTCTGAGAGCATTCCTGAGCCTGACTCTATTTCTAAGCCCGATGCAAGTAAACAAGTAGCTCCTTGCGATCCTGACACTGAGAGCTGCGCGATCGCCTCCTCTGACCAGACTGACCAGGTCAACGGGACTGGAGCTGACCCCTCTCCAAGCCCAACCGACGGCCCTACGCCCCAGGACGATCAAGCCCCTGCTGAGGTCTCCACAGCCGACATGGAGGCTGACCCCACAGCTGAAGGACCCCGCACGGTGGCGACTCAGACGAGCCCCGCCTCCTCGGTGGCCTCCTCGTGGTCGGACCTGAGCGAGCGCACGGCGGCCGACGGCGCCGACAGCGGGGCCGAGCGGCGCCCCTGGCCCGGCCCCGTGCCGCCGGCCACACGCGAGGCCACCACATCGATGTCGCGCCGGCCGGCGATGCGGATGCTGCGTGCGCGCTCGGAGGAGCCCAGCGGGCCGACGGCCGGCGCGGCGGCGTCCACCTCCTGGCAGTGGCAGAGCGCCGAACAGATGCACCGGCTCGCCGAGCAGGCCGAGCCGGTGGCCGGGCCGTACCCGAGCCGCCGACCGGCGCGGCCCATGCAGCTGCAGCTGGGGGAGGCTGGGAGCCGGCCGCGGCAGCGCGCCGCCGGCCGCCGTCCGCCCTCCCCGGCTGTGTCACCTCTCAGCACGCCAGGAGACGAGCGGCCGCCCACGGAAGACAAGCCTCCGCGACACGCCGCTGGGCGGCAGCAGCAGCGCCGCCGCAGTTCGCACCTCTACCTGGAGAGGGCAGCACGGATGTCGTGCTCGGAGCCGACCCTGGACAAACCGAACGGCAGGCCACAGATGGCGCTGCAGGCAGACTTCAACAAGGTGGGTGCTGGGCGACTGCTGGAGAGGGGAGAGGTCTAGACTCTCATATGGTCCAGTTGAAGCTCACAAAATGGATATAAAGTTGCCTATTTAGATGGTCGGTGGTCCGTTTCGTCTTTTGCATCCTCAGGATAATCAAATCCTTCTCCTCCACGCCTCAACCTCCCCGTTCCGAGCTTTTTATCCCATGCGGGAAGCTCCCCCAGGAGCGGCCCGTAGCCGGGTGGAGTGAATGTCAGGGGCTGGGTGGATGAGCCCAGCCCCGACGACTCAAGGGTGCCTGCTCAGACCAATGTCTCCCCCTAATTCCTATCATCCTTCCGGCTCTGAAATGGTCTCGTCAGACCGAAAGGGCCTAACCCAACAAAACAAACACACATGGTCTATCCTGGAACTGAGGTAGATTGAATCGAACTAAATGTACTGTTCTGAATCTCCTTTGTGTTAAAAAATATCTTTAGATTTATTTGTTTTCTATATCCTGGAAGAAATTGAACCTCGTTCATGGTTTATACGACACCTGAAGCTATCGCTTGTTTGGGACTATCAGCATGTTTCACTAGGTAAGCTACGCACTGGCGATCACTCTTGGTACCGTAGTTATCTCTGACTGATAGCTCTAAAAAAAAAAAAAACGGTGTCGAGCCCAGTACCCTACGATAACCTATAGCACATAACGGCTCGACGATGGCATGAATGGAATTTAAAGGGACCCTCCCACCTTAACATTAGATTTGAGTTGAGATAGCCAAAATGGGGTCCCTGGCTCACAATTACCGGTTTCGGCACTCACAACATCGAGAAATGCCTTAAATCGGAAATATTGAATTTCAAAATTGCAGCATTTTGATTCAGAGGGGCTTATGCTTAGGAATACCCCTCTGAATGTGTGACGTCAGCGCAAATATCTAACGATTTTTAAATGTTTGACTAAAACGTTTTGTAGCACGCGGTGGTATATGCTATTTGCGCGCAACATCTGCCGCAAACGCCGCATTTCTAAAATAAAGTCGCTAGAAACAGCGGAGATCCCAAAAAAGTAAACAAAAGTAAAAGTCTAATATCTTGAAAACCGGTGAATATTTTTCGGTGAAATTTGGTAGATATTCGTTTTCGCTCTTTCTGAACCGAGCGACATCACTTTCATGCCAATTCATAAACTTTTTTGAAGGCGGGAGGGTCCCTTTAATGTTTAACGGTATTCAATGTTCATTGATGCTGCTTACTTTTGGCACGTGGCGGCACCTGGAATCCCGAGACTTAGGGTCTATCTTACTGAGAATCTGCGGCTCCAAACGTGTTAATCCTTTAGGTAAGAGGCTTCGCGTCAGCAAAAGCAGATCATGCCATCCAGCCTTTTAGCGTCGCTAAAACCCCAGAGTGGGGAACCGGTCCACTTAGCGCCGATGCTGGGAATCGTGCGGCGTTCGGGGAATGTTGTGTCATTCATCGGAGTCAGGGAGCGGCTCATTCATTTGCTAAGCTCGTGTATCTTCGCTGGTATCTACCTGCCTGCGGTATCCGAGTTTGGATTTGGCTATCCCTGGGCTGAGTGATTGATTACGGTCCTCGACATTTATTTGCTAATAACATTTATCATTTTGATGTCCAGATCTCTATATGTTTGAGATCATCGTGTAATTTGTACAAACAAGTACTCACAAATATTGGCTGTCTAATATTTATCCTCGCCGGATGTTCCTTGGCCCCACATGCAAGCAATCCTAATAATTGATAAATGATACCCTCAAGCTGTCCGAACAGGAATTAGCGCTATTCGGGCATTATCGCTTAGCGGAAATGACGTAATACTTTTCAACTACAGTCTACAAAAGATGCTTTCTTTTTGGTTCCAACAGTTATCTATCTGAAGAGGACGCAGCAAACAACGTTTTGAGTTTCGCGGAAAAAGTAGACATGCGTATTTCGTAAGCACACCTATAATACGTTTCATCCGTTCAAGACTGCTGGATTATTACATTGTTACAAAATTGGTTTGACTTGTTAGAGCCATTCATTTGATTCAGGCAGTTTATAATGAGTTGCCGAAATAGCTGAATGCATTTCACGTTCACCGTGCAGGAGCTCCCAACTGTAAGTGATCCCCCCGTGGTCTAACTTTCTCAGCTACAGTTCAAAGTGCATCAGCGACCAGTGCCCTGCCCTTGCATTACAATGCTGTCAACTACGTCGTCATTCCGCCCCAAGTTTCTCACAGCCTCTCTCTCTGCAGTTTCAGGGCGGCTCGAGTGCCACTCGCTCCTACTCTGCCAAACAACTCGCAGGTGAGTGATCCCGCTTTAATTACCCATCTGTCCGTCCAAGTTCAGCCAACTCTTGTTGAGAGCGGCGGCTGGGGACCGGTCGCTCAGGGTGTAATAAGGCGCTTGGAACTGGTCGGTCGCACTACGGCTGGTCCGGTCACGTGCATTACACCGTGCCTGACCGTCACTCTGCCGACCATCCCCCGACGGTCAGCACGCGCTCGCGCTCTCGCCTCGGCAGAGGTCGCAGGGCTCCGGATATTCCGCTCGCTGAGAGGCGACATCCCCGGAGACGCTAGCTCGCGTCGGAAGACAGAGTGTCCTCGCCAATCGGAAAACGGAACTGCGCTGCTCGGCCAATTACGGTGCCACGTGCTTCACGTGGCCAACACGTGCCGTCGAGATGCCATCCGACCTTTGCCTGGGGTTGAGCTAAATGAAACGGGGAAACTACGGATTACCTGCCGGTGCGCATGAGCGAGTGTGAGATACCGGCCAGAGAGGCAATCAAAAATCGTTTGGAGCAGAGCGGCTCTGCAAATTACTTCCAAATCAGCAGACAGGTAGAACATATGGGCGTACACATCAGCGCTATTTCTGTTTAAATAATGGATTGAACTCCCATGGCCTTTTTGATCGTTCAAGGCGACCCACCTGGTTTTATTTTCTCTCGGCAAGTCTGTCGGAGAATGCAACATGGGCAGACCAATGTTCACAACGGTAAACCAGTGGTATTCTTTGATTAGGTTTTCCCTTCTGCTTATACAGTCGTGAGTTATACAGTCGTGTAGAGTCGTGAGCTATGGAGCAGCGCTATATTACATGTACATGTACGTACATGTATTGCAGTCGTGTGATATAAATTTTGTGTGCATTGGTAGGCAGAAAATGTATAATACATTATTTAGTTACATGAAGATGATTTCATCTGATTAGGTATTTTACGAATCATGACATCATAGCGTAAAATCATGCCTGATATCATAAGATTAATGTTATGCCTTCGGATAATCTGCTTGGTCCATTTGGATGAAGCTACTTTCCCTTCATTAGTAAAATCTCAAACCACAAGTCATTAATGCGCCTATCCATGAACAAATTCTCAATCCTCTCCCATGTAATTCGTATTCGAATCGTGGATGAAAACATATCCGGATCCCGCGGACCTTCTGCCGACCGGCCGAAGACACCACGCTTGTCCGTCGACACTTGACCCCGCAATGACCTCTTGGCCTTTAGCTCTACGGATTCGACCGTATGTGTTTCACACCCCGATGCATTCCCCAGTAAATCCCTGCCGGTGAAGAGTTTCCTATTTATTACTTCTGTGAACAATGCCGGCAGTTATTTTTCATTAGATGTTGATGTAAGTGACGACCGATATAGCTGTGCACTGTGTATTGTACGCACTGCGTGCCATTCTACTTTCTGTAAATAGCCCGTCCGGCTCCGGTTGGTGTAAAAAGCCTAGTGAGCTGCTCTCTTTCGCGAGACTTCTCGTCGCTGACTGTTTTAGATTGTCTTTCGACATGGGTATTGGATGAGTTTCGGAAGTCTATTGCATTATGGGCATCGTTCAGAGCAGCGGCGCAACTCGCAAGTTGCATTGTGCAATGAGCAGTGTGCCGTGCGGAATGTTTGACTTATATGTACAGCGCCGGGATGCGCCCGGTGCCCCTATGTATGAAAATCGAATGGCGTGAATGGCGAATTGCGCTGCCATAGGTGTTATTTTGGTTCTCACTGAATGGTTTCTGGGCCACATGATTGTTGTAAGGAGTTCAGCTCACTTTTCAAAAGGTGCGCTGCTATTGCACTTTCCATTTCTTCCTTTCGTTTTAATAATCTCTCAGTAATGCTGCGAGATGAAAAAGCAAGTCCTTTCACTTCGTTGTTTCATTTTTATGAATAATCCCAGTCCTTTCGCATTCGCCATGTGGTTGCGTGCACTGCAGTCAGGGGAACAGAAATTACTTTATTATATCCCTTATTCGATTCATAGGTGAGACGTGGCTGCCTCACTGGAACCTTATGGCTTTGTACAGACTGACATTCAAAAGCACAAAAGCACAAGGCAAGATGCGAGAGGTCTCTTTGAGTCAAAGTGTAATTAAGTTCACGAATCACGATGCCTTTTGCATCTCCGCCAGGAATGTGAGATATATTGCATTCATATTATTTGGGTCACAATTACGGCTAACATTATTTTTGACGTTTATTTGCATCTCCTACGCCTTGGTGCAACGTGGAACAGAACTATCAATTTAACGCCGCGTCGTTTCGTTTTTATTTATGGACATTTATCAATTGGTCTGGATTGAAAACGAGCATTGCGCAATGCTCGCTGTTTATCGAGTATGCAAAACGGAGCCAATATTAATTGCGATTCATAAAACCGTGCTGGCCGCCGCTTTGCTCTATTGATGTGAGCCTGCACTGGTGTATCTGATTAAGAGACAATTTATTCACGCGACTGGCAGGTATAAATTGCAATTGAATTTTCCCCTTGGTAATTATAACACGTTCGAGCCGCTATGCCCTCAAATAGTTCGATGTTTTGGCTTCTGTGGAGTCGTGGACTATATAGGATTGATTACAGACTGGACACTCTTCAGTTCATACCAGGGATGCGGAGCCGTGGAAATTTCAGACGGCTCCGGCTCCGGCTCCGGCTCCGGAGAAAAAAATCGGCTCCGGCTCCGGCTCCGGCTCCGGGTGAAATGTTATGGCGGCTCCGGCTCCGGCTCCGGCTCCGAGTAAAATGGTCCGGCTCCGGCGGCTCCGGCTCCGGCGGCTCCGGCTCCGACTCAGTACATCCCCTATGCAATCAATTAAATACGGGTGGAAGAAAAATTGGATTGGTTATACGCGTTACTCTTTGCCATGACCGACTCACCGCGTCCCCGCGCAAACGCACCTCGGAGAGAACTAGCAGAACAAAGGACTAGGAAGCGATGGCATTGGAAACGCAGTTGCCGCGAATCGGAGTTCACTGAACCATCGTAAGCTGACACTCGTCTCGGCTGCATTGGGGTGGGGGGTGGGGGTGGGGTGGGGGGTGGCGTGGGAAGAGACGGTGCTGGGAGTCGCAGTCCACTGCACTGGCTTCAAAACAATGGCCGTCACCTGATGACCGGTACTCATGTTCTGGGGATGCAGTAGACGTGGGGGGGGGGGGGGAGGAGCAGACAGGAAGTTGATTGCGTACTGTGGGATACTGGGGATATTCGGCTTTTTTCATTCACTTGATGGCCCATGACGTACTTACCATATGTTTTACTGCCTTGTACTGTCAAACCGAACTAGGTCAATTTTTCTTTCCTCTTCAAAAAATAAAAAGGAGCCGGAGTCGCCCCTTTTTTGGCGGCTCCGGCTCCGGCTCCGGCTCCGGGCTATATTGTTTCACGGCTCCGGCTCCGGCTCCGGCTCCGGGCAAAATATGCCGGCTCCGGCGGCTCCGGCTCCGACTCCGGCTCCGGCTCCGCATCCCTGGTTCATACCGATATCGAAGCATGTCAAGTGGCCGATGGCCATCGTGTCAAGATGCAGCCTTACAAGTACGATTGATGCAATCCATTTGTGGCTGTTAATCTGGTCGGTGTTGTCTAGAGCAGGACTCCACGGCACATCCTTTCAAGCCATCGGCAGCGGCAGCGCTGTTTAACCACCAGTCTGTGTGTGTGTGTGTTTACGAGCTAACTCGTCCCTCGGCGGGCCAGCTCTGTCATAACACAGTCCCGCCCCGAGCAAATAACCACAGCGGCTCTCCGTCAGTTCCCGACTGAATACCGAGATACCATCTGACGCCCGCCCCAATAAATCAATACCTACATATACGGGACCGGCTGCAACCCTCCTCTGCCTGGTGGGGCGCAGGTGCCGAGCTTGTTATGACTGGAATCCGTACTGCTCTTTTCTCGGAGAGGAAGGGCTGAACGGCGCTGCCGGTGGGATGGGCAGCGCATAAGACCCGTGTAGCGTGACGCAAGGATGAATGTGAGCCGTATAAGTGTGAGTCAGCTTCAGCGTCGAGCTGTGAACCGGTGACCCAGCGTTGGTCATAGCCGCCGGCATCTGATGCCGGCAGGGCCGAGTTACACCCTGCAAGTAGCTGGGCCGGGCATGACGTATGGGAGCATGATTGGCTGGTTATGATGTGAGATATATGACGTATGACAGCGCGATTGGTTGGTGATGATGTGAGATGTGTGTCTGCGAGCTGTGGATGTGCCAGGAGGGGGATTGTGAGTTTAGTTGGCTGGAAGGTGTAGAGGAGAGCAGAATAGATCTTCTTCTTGTGCTGGACGGTGACTTTTAAGTCAGTACGACAAGCTATTTCGGCCTTCTCGACTAAGTGTTGTGATTATGTCTGACGTAGAAGAGGGCAGTGGTGCACCGGTAGCTGGTACCAATACCATGGAACCAGAGTTTCCTGCGCCTGCATTCGATCTGCGGGCAATACCGGAGTTCGACGGCAGCGGTGACGTCGTCAGATGGCTGGAGCAGGCGACACAGCTGTGTGCCCTGCGTCGTGTGTCACTGGCCGCTGTCATACCCACACGCCTGAGGGACCAGGCGTACGAGGTGTGGGCCACCCTCTCCTCCACCGAGCAGCGGGATGCTGCAATCGTCCGCCAAAAACTGCATCGTGCATTTGCATTGGGACCCGACGCGGCTATGTATGAGCTGTATCACCGACGTCTACAACCGGGCGAGTCTGTGGATGCCTACCTGGGATCAGTCAAGCGGCTGATATCCCTCATAGGTTCAGTGTCCAACGAAGTGATGACGACGCACTTCCTGCAAGGTCTGCCGCCGGAGGTGCGGCTAACAGTACGTAACAGTGCTGGAGATGAAACTCTCTCCTTGGAGCGAGCCGTCGCCGTCGCTAGGTCAACGTTGGCGATGGCGGCCAGGGAGAGAGCGACTGCATCGGTGGCTGTCGTCCAGCCGCCGCCATCATATGTACAGCAGCAGCGGGGAGCCAGAGGGACGGGTCGCCGTCCACCACTGCGGTGTTG